GTTTCCTGTAATCAAAATTTTTAGAGTTTCAGTGCTTTGACATATTGTTTGGCCATGGATTCGCTGACTTGCGTATTTCATATCCTTGTAAATACTATGTAGAATAGGTCATGATGATGATATGATAGACTCATTCTTGTGTTAATTTTTCCCAATACTGGCTATACTTCTAAGTAGTTTGTTTATGCACACACACACTCACACACAATTGCTATGTTGATATTAGTCAAAAAGTAGCTCATTTAAAATGGGGCTTTTAATAATAAAGTATTCTTAATTCACCTTAATGGCGTCTAATTTTATGCTGGCATGGAACCCTTCAGACTGGTATCACTTCCTCACGGAGGAAGCCGATGACTTGCCTGGCTTTGATATTTTGAAGTAAAAAGATCACAGTCCAAGAAGGCAGAGTAAGAAAGATAGGATCATGTCTGGTGGAAAAAGGCAGAGATGTTTCCATCAGAAATCTCAGAGCAAGCCTGCTCTTTTCCTAATTCGTCTTCGATGATATCAGGTATTTCATTCACTTGGCAAAAGCAGCCCTTTCAAAACCTGGTGTGTAAATGGTTTCCTAGAAGGCTTGAGTGATTTCTAGGAAAATGTAGGGAATTGAAAGCTTCTTGTACATTTTCATTTTAATATTTAATCGGACAAAACACTACAGTTTCAAAAATCTGAGGCTCTTAGTCACAAACACTGTAAAATTTTAAAGAAAAGCAATGTGAAGCCAGTGAGATTGCCATAAAGTGATCATCCTTCTCAAGGCTTCCTCTCTCGGGCGTCTCCATCTCTGTACACTTCAGAACTGTTCTTTAAAGCTGCACACATTGTTCTCTGCACATCCAGAGGATGCCATTTTTATGGACTGCCTTGTGAATGAATGATGCCTCGAAACTGTACCGCTGGGCATTCCTGATGCAAGCACCACTCCATTTTCTTGCTACTGAGACCAGGAACCTCTGTGGCATCCTTTACTCTCCTTCCTTCCCTTGCTTGTCCCTGTTAAATCTTTGGATGTCTCGATAGCAGTGGCTACACAATTCATCCAGGATCCGTCCTCTGTCACTGCCGCCACCTTTACCTCTCCAGTGTCGTCCACAGCATTCTTCTCTTACCTGGACAGCTGTGATACCCTCCTAACCAGTTTCTCTGTCTTTCTTTCCCCTAGTCTTGATCACACAGCAGCCAAGGTGATCTTTTTCAAATATAACAGAACTTCCAAATGTTTCTGTAACTTGTGGAATAATATTGAATGTCACTACGATGGCTTGCAAAGAATCCACACTCTCCATGATCTGTCCCTACCACCTCCCATCTCCTTTGACACTCTCATTTACTACTTCTGCTCCAGCCATAGAAGTAACCTTTTAACTCTCAAAACACACCAAGAAACTGAGTCAAGCCCTTTGCATGTGTTGGTCCCTCTGTAGCTGTTCCCCAAACATTTACATGGCAGGATCTCTCACTCCCTTTGAGTTTCTGCCAAAAAGTCACTCTGTTAGTCACTTATGTGACTCTCCTCCCTAATAGAGACTCCCATTCCTCTCCATCACTTCACCCTGTTTTGGTTTTCTCCTTAGCACTAGCCACTTTCTAGTATGCTATACTTTTTATGTTCACTTGCTTTAATGTCTGTCTCAACCTCTAAAATGTAGGCTCCATGAGAGCAGGCTCTTTGTTTTGTTCTCTAATGTAATTCCAGTGCCTACAATAATACAGAGAATGTATCTGATTAATATCTGATGAATGAATGAATGATTTCTTCCTATCTTATCAAACAACATGGACAATGTATGGGGAAAATTAATTTATATGGATAGAGATTATTCTCAGAAATCTATTCTCTATTCTATATTCCCAAATCATAGAAGAGATAATTATGGGAACAGTGCTTTGTACACAGTATTCAGAAGTCATTGTCCCATGAATATGTAAATTTTTTAAACTGGCAGCAAATTAAAATGTAACCCTTGGCTACAAATTATCATTTCCACCTACATACACTCTCCTTAAATATATTAATAGATATTTTGCCCTTATAATTCTTGTTTGGATTATTACCAATTTACTTGATGCTTGCAAAAGTCAAAATCATTCAACAGAAAGAAATCATTTAATTTGGGAATTGAAAGGGTCCTTAAAGGTCATCTACAATGATCTTCTTGGAGGGTGGCCAATTTGATCTCAGATAGTTTTCAATGACAGCAAACTGCACTGTGAGGTTACCCATTTTGTTTCTGGATGGATTTTCCTTAGATCGAATGAATTTGGTAACTTTTATGCTTGGTCTTAGTTTTTAGAATCCACAGACAAAAGAATAAACTAGAGAATAAAGAGGAAAAAAAGGTTCAGAAAATGAAGAACATTCCGATTTTTCAAGTCTAGTTGTACCTAGAATTAGGTATTTATCTATTTACCAGAAAACTAAAAGGAAGAATGCTCCTGCATTATGGAGAAACATTCATAGTAGTTTCAGTTGGCTATTTGATTTTAACAGAGATGGTATTAGTTGGTATTGCTGTGTAACAAACCACCCCAAAATCTAGTGGCTTAAAACAACTCCATTTGTGATTTCTCACAAGATACCTGTGGGTCGGCTTGGTGGTTCTGTTGATCTGGGTTGGATTCTACTGATCTCAGCTGGGCTCACTCATGTGTCTGCTGTTAGCTGGTGGATTGGCAGGAGGCTGGCTGGTCACGGATAACTTCTGCTGGAAAGAAAACATCCCTCCATGTCCCTTTCATATATCCTCAGCAGACTGGCAGGGTGCATTTTCCTGACAGTGGCAGGGGCCCAAGAAAGCACTTTTTCAAGTCACTTTTTTTGCTTCAAGTTTGCTGCTGCCCTCTTTTGCCATATTATTGAGCCCAAAGTCAGGGGGAGAGGACCACAGAGGGTCCAGGTACACGGAGGCCATTGTTTGAGGCCATTGATACAATTAATCCACACCTGGTAAAAGGCACTGAAGGAGAGACTAAACTTAAGAGAGTGAAAGGAAGGAAAGAGATGGAAAAAATTAAATCAAAATGAAAGATGGCTAGGTAAGGGAAGAGACAGGGAAGAGAGATAGAAGAGATAGAAAGCATCATCCAAAGAGAGGAGAACGTTTCTGTGAGTGCTGTGGAAACCAAAACAGGTAATCTGGAAAACAAGCTCTAGAATAAACATGTAATGTTCGTAACAACATAACAGAGTCTTCCAATTGATGGCAATATGAGATCATGTTGTGCTGTGAGTATAGACAAAGAAGAAATACAATAAATTACCACGTAATCACCTGGTGAAGTATTTCACAACTTGCAGAGGAAAAGATGTTGCGATCATAGATGTTAGAGAGTGACAGCAAGTGACAAATGCCAGGAGCATTGCCTTTATATTTCTAAGCAGGAATCTATTAATAATACCACTTAAAAATTATATGACCATGTCTTACTAGGGTATACAAAATATAACCTGAATTGGGAATTTTCCTATGCTTTTCCATCCTTTTGTCCTTTTTTCTTTACTTGTAAGTCTGTCTTAAATACAAATTATATTTCTATTAGCACTCTGGGGTGTGACTGGATAAAAGTGTGATGCCCATTAAAAAGAGGGTTTTCACATATTGATACTGAATTCTGCTTAGTAAATCATACATAATGTATATAAGACTTTCATTTAGTAAATGAGCCTTCAGGAACTGAAATCTTGGCTTGGTTTTGCTTGTTTTGTGTGTTTGTGTCATTCAAATATCAGAATACTACTTTGTGTTGGTTAACAATTCGTCATGTGAATATAAAATTTACAAACACTTTAACATTATTTAAGAGAGGACTTAAATAGTACATCAAGGTAAAAATGTCCTTGCCCTTTTACTTGTTTCAAAATAATTCCACCTATTCCCAAAACAGTAAAATTTCTTCTTAATTTGTCAATTTCAACAAAATAGCCCTTTAACAATTTCCTGCATCATGGTCAAAGATAAACAAGGGAGCTTTTATTACATCTTCTCTCCAACTTATTGCCATTCTCCCTATTGTTATACTGTTTATGGTTTACACAGCTTTAATGTAATTTTTAATAAATTACCCAGAGATGGCCCCAAATCTGCTTATTCTACCTAAAAACATTTTTGTGTGTTTATCCTGCCCCTTTTCTCTCTTGTCCCTTTGTTTATTGAAGATGGTTTCATTTCCATTTTTATTTCTATAAAAATGCTAATAAAGAGAGTAATCATATCTCCAATGAATCTTTTCTAAATCTAGAAAAATAGACTTTAAGAGTTTACCTCATTTGTAAATGTTGTATCATTTTTCATATATCCTCAATGTGTCCTAATTATTTTTTAAAATGTAAATATTAGAAATGTCTGTCTTATTCAGATTTTGGTTCCATTGAGATTCAAATTTAGGAACCATGAGCTGGAGATGACTCATAAGAACTTACAAGTTTTCCATAGGAATTTCAACTAGAATGGGAAAGTTCAACATCTGTTAATGATTGCCAGATTTAACTATATATTAATCAACAATAATATTGTTTAGCAGTGCATATATTTGTCTTTCTCTAGGTTTTATATCTATAAAACCACTTGTAAACAAGGATATTTAAAAATCTCTATAAAAATAAATATATAACAAAGTCTTTTAGGAGAACAGACCATAAGAGAAAACTCTTATTCCTGAAATTAGAGCCAGCACTAAATGCATTCATGGTGCGCCCACATGTGTGATAAGTTGGCAGCATCCGGTATCAACTAAAGTCTCTGAGAATCTATTGCTTTCCAGATCAAGTAGCCATCTGTAGGAATGCTCTTGTCTCTTTAACTCATCAAATAGCACTAAATTGATGTTAATTTTTTGGTATTGTATGTCTTTCTTCTCCAATATTTCTTGCTCCTTTCTCTAATCTTTCATCTCCTTCACTTGGTTTTATCCATTAAACAAGAGGATCCCACTTCCTTCCCACCCCCGCATGAAATTCAAGTCTAACATACCACAATCTTCTTTTTCTTTTCCAGATTCCTGTGTTGGTCACACAGATAAGTTCGACCAATCACCCAGTGAAAGTGGGGCTGTCTGATGCATTTGTCGTTGTCCACAGGATCCAACAAATTCCCAGTATGTAGAAGAGGGGTAATTGCAAAGTGTGAGCCTTCTATGGGGGTAAATTTAAAGGAGATTGATCTCAGGCAGATGTAACTGAGAAAAATGACTTACCTAATTAATTAGCTAATTACTGCTTGTTAATTCTTTTATTTGGTTTATAATTCCTATTGGAGTGGGTTATCTCTGTTACTCTTGGACTAATCATTTAGGTAAAGCAAAATTAAATAGCTACACAAGAATATGTAATTTTAGATTCTTTGGGATGGTTGGCTTGGTTGAGCAAATACAGTTCTTTTATTGATAAGAAGAACATAAAACAGTGACAAATTATTTGATTGACAGGTGTATGACTTTCCAGGTTTGTTTATTTTAAATTAATTTATGAGCAAGACAGTAGCTCTGTGCTATTTTATGTTTAATATATTTTTATAGAACTGGTGATCTAAAGAAAGATGAAAGAAAAACTACAAATTTAGGTAAATAAAAATTTGGATGGTGCTATACCTACCAGAGAAGATTGTATGAAGGTTTTTTTGTTTAAATTATGTTTGCTATCTAGTGTAGTTCACATTTTTTAGAATAAAAATATATATGTTACTTTGGACAACTGCTCATCATTTGAGAACATCAAAATGTTAACTCTATTTTGTAGCAGTTCTTACAATATAAATAGGCATTCTTTGAAAGCTTCTGGTTTTTAAACCTCTGCTACTTCAAGAACAGTCCTGAGAGACGCTTTGATGTGTTAGTACTGGGGGGTGTTTCTTTGTGTCTTAGATGTGTCTAGTTAAAGCAAGGGGTGATAATAAAATATATCTCAAGATTACATCATTTCTTTCCTTTTATTCAAAGTTCTTTTTCTTCTTTTATTTCATTACAGCAGTAGACAATTTATCACATGCATATGCTGTTTGGTCTTGACTTTAGGTGATTCTACTTAATTATATCATCCCAAATATAGAAAGTAAATGGAGTGGAAACTATTTAGACTTTTCAGAGCAATGGATTGGCTAGAAACATTATGGGGGTTATCTTACAACTACACTTTAGAAGGACATTCATACATAACAGTTCTGCTGGGTGAAGAACGTGCATCCCCCACGGGGTTTCTTCTTGTTAGCTGAGAATTTGTGGGAGGTAATATTCAAGAGAATTGTTAAATCAAGGCAGATTTTCCAGAACCTAAATTGTACTGTGAACAAAGCAAGGATATATTAGTATGTGTAGGCAACATAAAGGCATCCTGACAGAGCTCTTAAATAAGAGGCTGAGCCCTGGGAGAGCCAAAGCTGGCTTCTGTTCGAGGAGGAATGTTCTCACATTCTTTCTTTCAGAAGTGTTAAATCAAGCATGACTTGAGTCAATTATTGCACAAGTAAAAGGAAACACTAGTTTTAGTTTATTTGTTGGTTCTTTTCATCCCTGAAAGAATTTTATTTGCAGCTAACTCAGAAGGCCTTTTAGTCCATATTGTTGTTCTGATATATTATTATTTAGAGAAAAAGATGCAACTAAATACAAAAGAATTTTTTTATGAACATATTTCAATTGGCAAGTATCACTCATTAAGCTTTAAAAGGATAACAGTTGTGTTTCAGGGAGAAAATATCATTCCAAATATAAATTTCATTGAATAAATTGGCAAAATTCATATGAATTTTGAGATCAGATTATTTCTAAGATTTGGAACTCAACAATCATCTAAAACACATGACTTAGAGTTCAGAAAAAAGCTGCTCTCGGGCAGGCTGCATACTAGAAGGGCATTCACATTTCCTATTCACCTTACTGTTCCTATCCTGAGAAAATTAGCCACGAAGGAATGAAAGTTCTGGTTTTCTAATTTCTCCATCTCTGCAGCTAGATGGGACCATATTTGAGCAAGAAAATTGGAATCGATGTGTTCTACTTAAAAATGTTCTTGGGAACAGAAAATTTTAATCTCCTTAAAAATCTGTTCCCACATTTATAAAGTGTAACAGTGTCTGTAACACGAGCTTTTGTATAAAAGTATTCTCAGCTTAAAAAAAAAAAAAAGCATAGATTAGGATAACCCAAAGTTAACATGTTATGTAAGTATTATATTTTTGTGTGAGAAATAAGGTAATTCCTAGAGATCTGTATGTTATTTAATCATGTAATCAGAACTTAGTCCTTTTCAAAAAATTCTGTTCCCATATTTAACAGCCCTCACTATTAGCAGTAATCTTTGTAGGGAATTTAAATCCTTTATCTCTGTTACCCGCCTTTTTCCCCCTGAGTAGATTTAGGAACAATTAATCATTATCCTAAGTAATTTGTGATTTCGTTTCTTCTATATTCCAAGGTGTATTACATAGGACCCTGTTCTCATAAGATCAATTTTCTGTTCTTTTAATCACTTCAGTTACATGGGGTATACAAACTAGACCCTTGCCCCTTGCCTTAATCTAGCCATGGGAACATAGGAATGCCAGCTATAGCCTTGAAAATAATTTTTCCCAGTGGGACCACCATTGCTATACCATTCTTATCAGATTTGGTAAAGGTTTGATAAAGCATTCAAAAACTGTAAGGCAATTTTAATTTATTATTAAAATTTCTTCCCACTCATTTCTTATAACATCATCATCAACAACAAAAACTTATCTTTTATTTTTTAAAGACTTTCCAGTAGTAAATGATTCAATTGTAACTATCAAGCATAATTAATGAAGGTAGCTTTCATCTTTCAAAAAAGATCAGGTGATCTGATAGTTTATATATCAAAGGGAATTCAGGCATTGTTGGTAAATTGATAAATAGGTCTAAAATTACAAGGGAAACTCTTGCTCCATCAAAAAAAAAAAAAAAAGAAAAAGAAAAGAATCTATGGTGAAATTAACCCTTACATTAGAAAAATAAAAGATGAAATTTGTTAAAGGTACAGAAAATAAGAGATATTATAAAATGAATGCTGGTCAGGAGACCTGAAGCATTTTATTTAATGTCTATTATTTTCTTTACATATAAAATGAGCATCTTAGTACCCACCGTGCAATGTATACATAGCATGCAGTACCTGGCGCAAAGTAAGCTCTATACTTGTACTTTCTGTATTTTCTATCATCAGCATTTTAAAGGACAGTGACACTGAGTCAGGGATGAGCCTGGCCCAGGTGCTCATCAGAGTGGAACTACAGGAAATTTCCACGAAGAAACACTTTGACAAAGGCTCTCCAGAACTCTAATTCTTTCTGACTGTAACATTGTGTGTTGCATTATGTCTCTTCATAAGACCTGCATCTTTCTGCCTGTGTGTACTTTTTTCTACATCACTTTCTGCCTTTCATAAAACGTATTTGTAAAACATTAGAAGTAGAAAGAACCACACCAATCAGCATATTCAATCTCCACCGATACAGATATGAAAAACAGATCTACACATACAATGACTGATTTTGGTTATTCATTTCAAAATATACCTACTATGCTTAGAAGCACGGCACCTTTTAATCAGAGTAATTTATAAAACAGCATGAAACCCCAAACTAAAATTTAGATTACCTGTAAATCTACTACAGAAAAAAAAACAATGTTTTCATGTAACTGCATCGAACTTTTCATTTAAAATATATATACACACACATTAAGAAAATAGGCATTGTGCTATAAATATTGTTGCCACCTATTTTCCCCTTCATATGTACAACACATTTTTTCCTACACACCAAATACCTGTGTAAAATGTGGTCATTAATGGCCACAACAAGTTCATTTGTTTCATAATTTAGGTGACCTGTCTCTTCAGTGGTTGGTCACATAGGTTGCTTCACATATCAATTATCAATAAAATGGTGCTGAAAATCCTTGTTTTTAAATTTTTACATGTATCTGATTCTCAAAAAATCAATTTGTAAATGTTGGATGTTAATACTGTGGGGTTTTTATTCATATATTTTGACAAATTGCTTTCCATAAATGTTCTAAATTACTACCCCCACCACTAATGGGCTATGTAATTATATTAGATTAGATTAGATATCCTATTTCCCTAAATTCTTTCAGACACTATTATTAATTTTTAAACTTTGCAGATTTAATAAGCAGTGCAAGGTGTTTCATTGTTGCTCTTAATTGTCTTTTGATTGCCAGAAAGTTTTAATGTTGTCATATATTCAGGGGTCATTTGTAATTTCCATAACTTCTTGTTAAATAACTCTATGAAATTATTTCCTCAGTCTTGGATTATGTCTGTCCCTCCAAAGCCTTTTACATAGAGTGCAGAGGTGTTCCTGGGTACAGGCAGGGTCATTCACACTTGTTTGTTTCTCTCTCCTCCAATTTAACATTTTGAATTTCAATCTTAATCTCTGAGGCACTGGACTTCCTCCTCATACCTTACTGTTTCTCTACCTTCTGAGCTTAAAGGGTGTAACATTTCCAGCACAAAACCCAGAAAATCCACCCATTCTGTGTGTTTCTTTAATTTGGAAAACTTAAGGCTGTGTCATTTGAGTAATGAGAAAGTTACTTTAACACACACATGCAGGATTCTAGCACTAGAAACCGATTTAGAAAGCAGCTGACCTAACTTGAAGTGGTTCTACTACCAGTTATGAAAATGACTATTTATGAATCCCTTAGAATATTCCACCTTCTTCTTATAGCAGTACATTATCTGGTAGTTTCTTAACGTCAAGCTTCTTTTCATCGGCATCAGCTGTTTTAAATTTATTGACATTGTCCGTGCTCTAATGTGCCTTTGCTTTGTTGGTTATTATTATTTACAGCTCAATAAGAAACACTGAACATTTTCAGAAATAAAACTGACAATTAACTTGTAGAGCTAATATATTTTAAAAATAAGCTGGGAACAGTGACTTACGCCTGTAATCCTGGCAACTCGGGAGACTGAAGTAGGAGGATCACTTGGGGTCACAAGTTTGAGATCAGCCTGGACAACATAATGAGGTCCCTCTCTAAAAATACGGAAAAAATTGGCCAGGTGTGGTGGTGAGTGACTGTGGTACCAGCTAACAAGGAGGGTGAGG